CCACCATTCGTCGAAAAATTACACTTTAACCACCCTTCGTCGAAAAATTACACTGTGTATATAGGTAAAATATTACGTTTTAAAAGTATATAACACATATTGAACCCCTTTGTCGTAATTAATTTTTTTTCACTTTTTAAAAATTTGAACACCTTTGAAGAAATTTCTAGCTTCGCCGCTGCTCATAACTAGTCGGTACGTTCCAATAACAAAAAATTCTCTTTCTAAACCTATTAAGATTATGTCAGGTGAATCCAATCAAACAGAATCCAATTCCGCTACTTAGGCAAGGATGGACGAAAAGCTAAATATAACAATTTCGAAATGGAATGAACTCTCCTTTCTATTTCCACTATGAAATGTATTTTCCGGAAAAGGGTCATTCCTGTCCCTATACTATTAAATATTAGTTATTTGTACCCCCTCCCCCGGTTATACTATTCAACCCTTTTTATCCCTACCGTTAGTGATATTGATATATCTACCCTCTAATTAACGGTCCCAACTGGAACGGACATGTGGCACAATCCTAAGACACCAGACTTTTTTTTTTAATTCGCATGTGGGGGGAATTAAGACACCCGATTAGAACCCACTGATTGACCCAATCCGGAACCCTTTAACGAGTTAAATTAAATACCCCATCAAGCCCGTTTATTTTTTGAAACACCCAAAACTTTACTTCAGTCGTTTCTTCTTCTTCATCCATCCCCAAATCTTAGGGTTCTTCAATTTCCTATGGTGTAAAGATACTATTCTTCAACCAAAATGATACATTCATTCTTGTTAGCCTATATTATTGTAGTAATGTGTCTTAAGATAGCGTTTATTTTATACGTTTAATCTGGTCGATTTTAGGGTTTAAGTTTTTTTTTTGATTTTATCATCTTTATTTAGGGATTCGTGTGTTGGTTGATTTTTTTAATGGTTTTTACTGCAATTTCTGATTATTCTAATGCAACTTTTGGCTTTTTCTTTATGGGCCAAATTTGACTTTACTGCATGTGGGGTAATATTACTCACTAGTGGTCATGAATGTGGGGTAATCCGATTATTTTAGTTTTTTTTTTGTGAAATTCTTTGTTTTGGTTGATGTGCTGGTCCCATTTTTCTGTTTTCTTTGGGTGGTTTAGGGTTTGGAGATGGTTTTATGGCTATGGTGGTTTAGGTTATGTGAAATTTTTTGTTTTTTAATGTTCTTTTATGCCTATGTTTTTTTATCTAATCTTTCTTTATGTTATTTAATTTCAGATTTCTAATATGGTTAATCTGGACATAATATTCAACTATGGTGGGGAGTGAATTAGAGAGCCACAAGTGAAGTATGCTAAGAACCTATTGCACACTTGGACAGATTATGACTCTGACCTCCTTTCATATAAAGACATTGTAGATGAGTTTTGTAATGAATTAGGGTTTATTGGTATTCAACAACTTATTTTTTCTGCCCCTTCTGGTAGCTACTATGAAGTTGAAGGGGATAGTGGTATTAGGTGTCTGTTAGAAATGGTTGGTACTGATAGCTACAATTATAATGTTATTAATTGGTTTGTTGTTGAGGAATGTGAGATGTCAGTCCAAGTACCTAATATTACTCAATATGATGAGGTTGTAGTACATGATTACGAGGCTTCTACTGACTGTAGCTCAATTGAAGGTGAGGATAGTGATGAGTATGATTCTGAGTCTTCAGAATATGACAATGATGAACTAGATAGTATTGCAACTCAAAGAAACATGAGCATTATTGATCAATTGAATGATTATAAGGAACTAGACAAGAGTATGACCTTCAAGGACATCTCTGAAACTAGGAAGTGTCTAAAACTCTATGCTATGGAAAATAAGAAAGAGATAGTTCTTAAAAAAAGTGATACAACAAGACTTAGGTATGAGTGTCAAATTGGCTGCCCATTTGTTTGTTTAATCTCTAAAGATGGAAATTATCCAGGGGTAAGAATCAAGACCTTAAACCCACATCATGACCTATATTGCTTATGATAATAGCACTATTGACTACTCTACTATTGCAAATTATTTTAAGAAGAAGTTATCAAATAATCCAAAATATAAAGTGAAAGAGAAGAGGGCTGACATAAAAGATGCATTTGAGCTAAATCTTAGCCATGGAAAATGCAAGAGGGCAAAAGCATTGATTCTTAATAAGCTACAAGGAAGCTTTAAAGATGAGTATAATAAGCTAGAGGCATATGCCAATGAGTTGAAGAAAAGTAATTCTGGAAGTGATATTGTTATTAACTTGTCAAAAGATGCACTAGCTAAAGGACATCTTCTGTTTTTAAGAATGTATATCTGTTTTAATGCACTGAAGATGGGTTTTAAGGCTGGTTTGAGGCCTTTTATTGGATTGGATGGGTCATTTCTTAAGGGAAAAACTAAAGGACATCTTCTAGTTGCTGTTGGTCAAGACTCAATGAACCATTTTTATCCAATAGCATGGGCTGTAGTGGACAAAGAAACAAAGAGGACTTGGAACTAGTTTTTAGGATTGTTAATAGGGTCATTGGGCCTACAGAATGGAGAAGGATACACTTTCATCTCAGACAAGCAAAAGGTACTTTTCATACTACTGCTTTATGTTTTTGTTCATAACTATTTTCTATTTTTTCTATAACTGGTTTCTATTTTTTTCATAGTTTCCAGCTGTTATTTTTTTTTTCATAACTGTTCACTATTTTTTTCATAGTAAACAAATTGTTTTCTGTTTTTCCTATAACTGATTTCTGTTTTTTTCATAGTTTTCAGCTATTGTTTTCTGTTTTTTTCATAACTGTTCACTGTTTTCTGTTTTTCCTATAACTGTTTCTGTTTTTTTTCATAGTTTTCAGCATTTTTTCTATTTTTTTCATACTTCATTTCTGCTATAAGTTACTGTTTTGTATATCTTTTTTGTTTTTCTGTTTGGATCATGGTTTGTAGGGTCTGATTGAGGCAATGAGAACAATACTTCCTTAAGCTAACCATCGATATTGTGTTAGACACATTGAGGCTAACTGGTGTAAGAGATGGAAATCTGGGGAGATGAAGAAGCTTCTATGGTGGTGTGCCTGGAGCATTTATGAGGAGGATTTTCAAGACCAATTGAAGAATATGGGGGATATGGATGAAGATGCTATGAGGGATTTGCTACATTATCCTCCCCAGTCATGGTGTAGAGCTTATTTTGACACTGTGTGCAAGAACATGGCAGCGAACAATAACTTCACAGAGTCATTTAATGTATGGATCTTGGATGCAAGGTATAAACCAATAGTCAAGATGTTGGAAGATATTAGAGTTAAGGGTATAACCTTATTGAGAGAACATGAAGTTCAAGTGAAGTCATGGACTCGGGACTTCAGTCCACAAAGCATGAAATTGTATGCTAATTATTTGAAGATCGCTCACACATGTTTGCTTCACTTTAATGGAGATGCTGGTTATGAGATTAGAGAAGGAGAAGATAAACATACTGTCAGAATGGAAGTGAAGCAATGCAGTTGCAGGCAATGGCAACTCTCAGGAATACCATGTCCTCACACAATCAAAGCATTGATTTACAAGAGGAATGACCCTCTAGAGCAAATGCATTGGTGGTACAGCAAAGATGCTGCTCTAAAGGCTTATTCACATAAATTGCAGCCTGTCAAGGGTGAGAAATTCTGAAAAATAGACACATCACAAGCCATGGAACCACCAAATTTGGTGAAGTTAGCTGGCAGACATAAAGTGAAGAGAAATAAGCAAAAAGATGAGGCAAGCAAGAGACAAGGTGAATGGTCTTCCTCAAGGAAAGGGAGAACCATGAACTGCAACAACTGTGAAGAACCAAATCATAATACAAGAGGGTGTACAAAGGTAATTATTACTACTATAAGTCTTTAACAGTAAACTTTATATTATTTAACACTTTGTATTCTGTTTATGACAGCCATCTAGTGCACAATCTAAAGGAAAGCAAACAATGAAAAGGAAAAGAACTGTAGATTATGAAGACATTGATTAAGAGATACCATTATCAGGTCCCCAACAATCTCAAAATAGTCAAGCCTCCAACAGTCCACTTGTGTTCAATCCTACCCCAACTATTTTTTATGTCATTTCGGATCTAAGAGATATTTCTAGTAGACCTTTACCCCCACAATTTGCAGATGAAGAAGACCCTGCTATAAGGCCAAAAATTATTTCAGAGGCAAGGACAAGGCTTCAAGTGAGACAAGAACTAAGTCTTCCATCTGTGTCAAGAGTTATCCCCGTAAGAGGTGGTTCAGCTGGTGTGAGTGATCCTTCAAACCTGCCCTACTCACCAAGAGGACTCACATGGAAGGAAAAAAATGTTGTAAGTAGCAACCAACTGGAGATGCAAGCTCAGAAAAAAAATTAGAAAATTGCAACCAAGAAAGGGAAAGAAGGGTATTATGTTGGGGTAATGGGAAGTAGGTTTTTGGAGTAATGGTTTAGGACTTATTTTTTGTCAAAATAATTTGGTTGGTGATGTAATTTATGGCTTCGGCCAGTACATTTACTGCTACTCTTTTTTTGCTAGGTTGGTGATGACAATTGGATGTCATAGTATGAATTAGGTGGTAACTTCTTTTAGGGTGATAATATGGCATCCGTAGGTCAATTTAACTGTACCTTAACAGTTAACATTGTAAATTAATAGTTTTAATGTCATGTTATATGTATCAACCAGTTTAGCTATTGTTGAACAAACTCAGTTTATGTCACGTTATTGTTGAACATTATGAGAACCCAGATTTGGATGTTTTCGATGTAGTTGGATACTCATACAGTGAAGATACAAGCTACTTAGTTTGTTCAAGGATATTTAATTTCATACTCAAACTGTAATATCTTCAGCAGATAAGCAATGAAGATAGGTGGTGCAAGAACATTTAATACAATAGATACTACATTATTCATCTTGCCAAAAGTACTACTTATAACTAACACGAGAAAAAATCCAAAATGAACAGCAGTAAACACATGGGTTATCATAATACATGGCTAATTTCATCTTTCACCCAACACACACTAGATTGCTTCATAATACAATAGGCATTTAATAACATACAATAATATACAATACATTGCTCTAAATATCCCAACCTAAATTAACTTAATAATACAAAATACCACAACATTAGATATCATTTAATTCATCAAACAAGCTGCAATTAAGGTACCAAATAGGTCCCATGATATCAAAATAACTAAGTTCATTTTCTTGGAATTGGTCCTTTCCAGTTGATTTGTAGCCTCCATTTCTTCAACTTTATTCTTCAATAAGTCCCTTTTGAGATAAGCCGCATCCAACATCGACTTCAACATGCTTGTTTCGGTCTCTCCAACTTCAATTATAGCCTCCATTGCTTCAACTTTTTCTTTAATTTCAGGCTTTCAACCTTGGCTACATCCAATTGCGACTTCAACTTGCAAATAACAGTCACAGCTCTGTCCGATAATACTTCATCAACCCATTCGAAATAACCACACAAAGTTTTCTGGAAAAATAATTGAAATGATTTCAATCTAGAAAAGAATCGAACAATCACAACACAATAATTATATTAATTAACTCACATCAGGTTTAGGACATTTGTAGAATCTCCGACCAGCGTTGCATGTAGTGTAAGTCGTAAAGTAGTGGGCAGTCAGATCGCATAAATACCTCCTCTTCGAACCAACTTCTTGAGACGAACAACTATCTTGTGACATTGTTGAAACTAAATGACTGATTTACGGGAACAACTGTGAGAAAATTGAAGAATATGGAGATTGAAGAACCCTAAGATTTGGGGATGGATGAAGAAGAAGAAACGGTAGAAGTATAGCTTTTGGGGGTTTAATGAAATAAACGGGTTGGAGGGGGCATTTAATTTAACCCGTTAAAGGGTTCTGGATCGGGTCAATCAGTGGGTTCAAATCGGGTGTCTTAATTCCCCGCAAATGCAAATTAAAAATAAAAGAAAAAGGTATGGTATCTTAGGATTACGCCATGTGTTCCAGTTGGGACCATTAATTAGAGAGTAGATATATCAATATCACTAACGGTAGGGATAAAAAGGGTTGAATAGTATAACGGGGTACAAATAACTAATATTTAATAGTATAGGGGCAGGAATGACCCTTTTCCGTTTTCCCAAACTACTTGCCTTCTTTACAATGACATTTTACTATTCCTCGTTTACCTCCGTGTTCCTTAAGCAATTAAGCTCTCAGCATTGTGTATTTAGAGAAGGATGTCTTTTCTCTTTTGTTCGATTATTTATCATCTTGAGCGTATTTTGTTCTCCACTACGGCCCAAAACAGGTATGATAAATTGGTAATAAGATAATGGAGATGAACAACATTATTGACATTTATAAAGTTGAATTTATCCCCTGATTTTAAAAAATTAAAAAATAATTGTATGGTATTAGCCACCATCAACCATTGAAAACAGGTCTTGGCAGAAAAAATTACAAAAACAACACCATAATGAACAAATTAAACACTCCAATTTATACTCCGTAATAAAAGAAATTACCTGCAAAAATTGAATTTGAGTAGAAGGAAGTTGGTGACACACAGCGAATTCTAAAATTACCAGCAATAATTGAAGTTGACAACAAAAACCTGCTTTCAACACACAGACACACATAAAACTCATAAAACAGGAAAACCACAAGTTTTTGAAAAAAGAATTCATATATGATAGACCCCAACTATTTTGAGACTTAGGCCTAATTAATTGACTGATTGATTGATCGACCTTTCCTAACACAGTTCACCATCCTTTAACAATGTGGTTAAATGCCCATATTACATATATGAACACAGTCACACTCAGCCCATATCACATCTTTGGTTTGTTTTGCTTAACCAATTCTAAAACAAATCAAAATCCTAAATATGACACATTTACTTAGTGTTAGTATTCTCTTTATTTTTTACCAAAATAAATCCCTAAAAGTTATCATTTGTACCTGCCTACAATCTGTTCTATATAACAAACTATTCTTCAGTGTAATACCTAAAAGATCCACAAGTAATGAAGCAAACTCAAACTGATCCAAGTTTTCTTATAAAACAAACTATTCTTCTGCACATTAATAACTGCCACAAAAGCCCAAATCTGCCCACAACGAAGCCAATGTAATTTTTTTTTCCTTACAATTTTGTTTTTTGGGTTAAAAAACAAACTTTTATCAATAAGTAATCATATATGCCTCAGGCTAAACGGATTAAATAGCAGGAGAAAATATGAGAAAGGATGGATAACTAACCTTTAATTTGAGGGGAAAATTTGGAGAGGATTTGCTCAGAAGTGATGGAGATGTAAATGTACGTAGTTTGGCTTCTTGGTAATTTGGTTTTTAAGGGTAAATACGGTAAATACTTACCCAACCGGTGTTTACACTAAACTTTTTAAGACAATCTTCGTGGGAGGAAAAAGAACTTTTTCTATTATTCCTAATTTACCCTTTAAGTTAATGGGGTTAGCTTTTCCTCTTAAAGGGTGTTAAGGTAAATGGAGGAGTATAATTTTGTTTAATTGGTTCTACCTTTTTCCCTTTTTGTTTTTTCGGAAAAGGGTTCAAAATGCCCCTAAACTATTAAAAAAGTTTTAAAAAATACCCTTCATCCATTTATTGGGCTAAAAATATCCCTCCAGATCCACCTTTTTGGTTCACGTATGTCCTTTAACCTTTAGGTCAATGCTGAATTAAAAATAATTATTTTATTGAAAATATTTTTCAATTTTTAAAAAACGAAAATATTTCTGTTAAAAATAATTATTTTTTTCTGTTTTTACAATTTTTTTCAGTTTTTACAAAAAAAATGCTCTAAAAAAATTGAAAAAAATATTTTTTTTAAAAACTGGAAAAAAGAAGAAAAGAAACTTTACTAAATTAGTTGACTACTGGTGCATTAGTTTAAAATAACAAAAATATTTTGCAATTTTTTTTAAGTAATTATTTTTAATTCAGTATTGACCTAATGGTCAAATAACATAACTGAACCAAAAAGGTGAATCGAGGGGTATGTTTAGCCCAATAGGTGAACGAAGGTTATTTTTAAATCTTTTTTAATAGTTTAGGGTATTTTGAACCCTTTTCCGTTGTTTTTTTGTCGACATCGGCCACCGGCGCTACATCTTTCATCACCGCTTTTTTGCCTCGCCCGTCTCAGGTAATTCGTTTATGAATTTCGTCGATGTCTATCTAACGTACGAAAAATTCAACTTTACTCTTCTATATTGCAGTTACATATAAAACGTAGACGATAAAACGAAGATAGGTTGACTGAGATGGTTTTGCCATACATATGTAGACCTCCAAATCACTATTCTGATGAATGTGCTACAAGTTGACAATGTAATAACCTCGCGGATTTAATGTGAACTTAACTAAGAATAAGACTAAGACATAATAATAAAAATAAAGGGTCCATATAAAATGGCGGAGCTAAAGTAAGGAAGGAGTTCAATTGAATTCCCTTCCTCCGCAATTACATTGTGCAATTAGGGTAAAAACAAATTGTTTTTACCTAGGATTCCTAGAAACAATTGAATCCCGTTATGGATTCCTAGATCGGTGGTGGTCAGGCTCGTTGCTATGCTTTTTCGAGTAGACCCAAGGCGGTGGCCTCAGAAACTGTGATCATATGTATTGTTTTGGTTTGTCGTAGAGATGCTTCTGTATTGTTTGATCCAGGGACTATCTATTCATATGTGTCATCATATTTTACCCCTTATTTGGATATGCCTCGTTGTTCTCTACTTCTCTTGATATTCATGTTGTTCCTGTATGTACACCTGGTGCTGATGGTGATTTTATTGTGGTGGATCGTGTATATCGGTCTTGTATGGTTACTACTGGGGTTTACTTCCGCATATAAGTGATACCAAATAGTGGTGATTAACTCTTTAGTTTATTTTTGTTATTTTTGTCGGGAGTCCTTATAATCTAGTTAGGACTTGTATATCAATGTAGGAATAAGGACGAGGGTTAAAAAGCCCCACTCGTCTTTAAAGTCGTTTCAGTTAGTACTATTTCAGTTACTACTAGAATGAAATAATCATATAACTGAACCTAATCAGTTTGGGATTGAGGAGTAGTTGATTGCTTGATTAGTATATGAGAAATAAAAACAAACTGTACAAAAAATAGCAAAAATGAAATTCATTCAGTATGTTTTAATTATGACTTTCTTTTCTGTTATAAGGATGTTTTAATTTTGACTTCTGCCGCAGAAAGAAGCAATTGCTCAGAAACCTTTTACTACTTTGTTTTGTTAGGTTTCATTTTGAATGTCTAAAGAGGAAAGAGAAAATGTGTTCTTAAGAAATATGGAGTAAAGCAAAGACAAGAAAAGTAATGTTCTTGTAATTGTTTGTTTGACTACGAAAGAAAAGTTCAAAGGGAAGTAAAATGTTTATGTTACAACTTAAAAATCCTTGTAGATTTGCCATGAAAAAATTTCCTGCAGGGAAATTTGAAAGGACGGATTGCACAACATTCCAGTTATCCGAAGGCTAGGAAAATGTTGAATAGCTGACTCTTCAATCCAGCTTTTTTGGAATAAATTGCACAGGTTATGATTATGAAACTCTTCTACAGTTATGCCTGTATGGTATAAGATGTGATTCTCTTTTGCGCAGAAATAGCAGAACTTTCCTTTAGCTGTTTCTATTTGTTCTCCCTTTCTCAAGTCTTTTCCTTGATTGGTATGACCAACTGGATAATTTATTAGAAATGATTTCTATACAGAGCAGGGCACATTAGTTCACCAGAAAGATGAGTCATCAATAGAGTATTTTCTTTGTCTTTCGTTTTGCACCTGTGCTGCACTGCTATTGTGTCCTGAAATTTAGAGGGTACTGAACTATCTGAGGACTGAGAGTGTCATCCTTCGCCCCATAATTCAACCAGGAATTCAAGGCAGATTGAATTGCATATAGTAAAGAACAAAATGGTTTTGTACATAGCTTCATCCAAGGTGACGATGAAATACCAAATGATTACCTGAACTCCTGCATGTTGCGGAAGCCAAATGTATATGGTGTGAATGAGTCACAACTATTATACCAAAAATTATGACAGCCACCAAATAATAAATAAGATAATAAAGCAACAATAAAAGGAACACCAGAATTTACGAGGTTCGGCCAATTTTGTCTACTTTCTCGGACACAACCAATATTTTATTTCACTCCAAAAATACAAGTGAAATAATACTAAAGAGAGAAGATACAAATGCCTTAAAAAGATAAGAAGACAAATGAGAGGTGTATCAAAATCCTAAACATTAAGCCTCCTTTTATAGGGAAAAATTCCCTACCAAATGGTTAAACCACCGATGTGAGATTTGCCAAATTCAACAAATCTCCACCTTGGCAAAATTTCACATCTTCAATTTTCTCTCAATAACAAATTTTGGTTGTGTCTTCATCTTCAATCTTCAGTGTTCAACAATGTTGATCAAATCCAAACAACGTTGAAACTTGACCGCAATCACCACTTTTGTCAGCATATTAGTAGGATTCTCTGTAGTATAAATTTTCTTCACCATGACTCCACATTCTTCTATGATTTCTCGTATGAAATGATATCGAACATCAATGTGTTTCGTCCTTGCATGATAAACTTGGTTCTTTGCTAATTGAATAGCACTTTGACTATCACAAAAAATAGTGATACTTTTTTGTCCAACACCAAGCTCTTTTAGCAACCCCTGAAGCCAAATTGCCTCCTTCACAGCCTCTGTAATAGCCATGTACTCTGCCTCTGTTGTAGACAAAGCAACTGTTGACTGCAAAGAGACTTCCAACTAACTGGTGCCTTTGCAAAAGTAAACACATAACCAGTAGTTGACCTTCGTTTGTCCAGATCACCCGCAAAATCTGAGTCACAATATCCAACTACAGACTGATTGCCTTCCTGCTCAAAAACTAACCCAACATCTACAATATTATGAATATACTGTAGAATCCACTTCACAGCTTGCAAATGCTCCTTTCCTGGATTATGCATATATCTGCTAATAACTCCAACAGCTTGTGAAATATCAGGTCTCGTACATACCATTGCATACATCAAGCTACCAACAACATTTGCGTATGGTACCTTTGACATATACTCTCGTTCAGCTTCATCTTTTGGCGACATTGTAGTACTTAGCTTAAAATTGGGAGCAAGTGGAGTACTAACTGGCTTAGTCTTCTCATCTATGCCAAAGCGCTGTAGTACTCT